GGAGGGATATGGAGTGGGAGAGAGGAGGAGGATGAAAGAGGGGAGTGAGAGAAAAATTATGATAAAGAAGGGGAATGGGAGCAAATTATGATAAAGAAGGGGAGTGGGAGAAAATAGAATAATAAAGAAGGAAGTATGGGGGGTAGGGGGGTTTAGAGGAATGTAGGGAGAAAGTTCAGATAGGTTGAGAGAAAATTTACATGGGTGTTTTTTTAATAGAAGTAAAGATAGGAAATAAAGTTTAATTTCTTGTCCCTATTATCAGGGGGAAAAAAACATATTACAATCATGAAAAAAAATATCCTATGAATACAGCCATCGCAAGAAAGAAAAAATTAAATCCACTGAAAACACTAAGTGGCAACTTACTAACCTGGAACAGTGATGCCATCCAGAGAGCACCATTTCCCTGCTCAGGTCGTGCATACTCAGGTCGTTAAGGAAGAGACCTGTTTCTCGCATCTCCACCAGGTTGTTCAGACTTCAGAAATATGAAGAAAAAAATATATATATGAATGTAGGTAAACATGGCAGAGGATAATTATTTATATTTGTAATATTATTGCCTATGTATTGTATATATATTTTTTTGAGAATCGACTTTTATTTTGCATATCATCTTGGAATAAAAATATACAGCTATGCTTTTAAACGATTTTTCCTAATTCAACATATCTATCTATCTATCTGTCTATTCTCTTCCTATCTTTCCATCCCTATTGTCCCCCTCCGTCTCTCTCTCCTTTCCTCCCCTCATCTTTTCTTCCTCCTCCTCCTTCTCTCCTTCCTCCTCTCTCTACTCTCCTCCTCCCTCTCTCTCTCTTTCTCCTTCTCTCCCTCCTCCTCTCTTTACATCCCCCACCCCCCACCATCCTCCTTTGAAGATAATGAGGCAATCAACAGCAACCGTCACAGGTAATGAGGTAATTAGCACCTACGTCACAGGTAATTAACAGCTACCGTCACAGAAGCAGCATCACCACGGGTTGCTGAGGTGATGCTGTTTTCACGTCGCGTGGGGAGGTCGAGGTGAGATGCTGAGAGTTCCCGTCGGTCTGGGATTCTCTGCGCCTCTTTTTTATAAGCCGGTTATTCCAATTATGTCTCGAAACTTACCCTTCAATCCTAGTTATATATATATATATATATATATATATATATATATATATATATATATATATATATATATATATATATATATTAATTTATCTTTTATCAGTCTGGAAATCAACCCTCCGATCCCATTTTTATCTATGTTCTATTTTTTATTACAATTATGTGTCGAAACCAATCCTAGTTTTTCTTTATATATCTTTTATTCCTTTTTATCGTGTGTCATAATTGTGTTTCGAAACTAATTCCCTCATCCTATTTATACATACACACATACATACATATATATATATATATATATATATATATATATATATATATATATATATATATATATATATATATATATATATATATACATATATTTATGTATGTATACATATACATACATATATATATATATATATATATATATAACATATATATATATATATATATATATATATATATATATATATATATATATATATATATACATATATATATATATATATATATATATATATATATATATATATATATATATATATATATATATATATATATATGTATATATATATATATATATATATATATATATATATATATATATATATATATATATATATGTATATATATATATATATATATATATATATATATATATATATATATATATATATATATATGTATATATATATATATATATATATATATATATATATATATATATATATATATATATATATGTGTGTGTGTGTGTGTGTGTGTGTGTGTGTGTGTGTGTGTGTGTGTGTGTGTGTATACACACACACACACACACACACACACACACACACACACACACACACACACACACACACACACACACACACACACACACACATATATATATATATATATATATATATATATATATATATATATGTATGCATATAATATATTCTATATTCTACTATAACGATGTCTCGTAAGTTACGTTTTTTTTAATCTTTTATTTTTCATCGTAATTATATCCCGAAACCACCCCTCCAGCCCTTATTTATGCTATATATTTCCTATTTCTAAATATAATTTTGTTTTGAAATCAAACCTCTTATTCTATTCTTTTGTATGTTTTATTTCTCGTCTATTTTATCGAAATTGTATCTCTAAACTAACCCTACCTATCATAACAATGTCTCGAAAGCAACGTTTATTTCATCCTCTATCTTTCATCACAATGATATATTGAAACCAATTCTCCAGTCTACGTTTTTTTTTCTTTCATCTTTTATCCATTTTTTTTGTATCACTATTTTCTATCACGTTTCGAATCTCGCCTTCCAATCCTATGCATTTTATTATAAATATTTTATCTTTTATCACAATAATGTCTCAAATCCAAGCCATTCCTTTTGCAACATGATTTATGGAGCTAATGATACCCGTCATAATATCACGTAAAAACAACAACAAAAATCCCTGTTGTTGCATCGTTTTAAAGCTTATTTTTACACTATCATTTCAAGCTACAAGCTACGAATAAGAGGTCTTACTAACTAAATGAATGAATGAATGGAGGAACTGATTAATTAAAGTGGTCAATGAATGAATAGGTGAGTAAATGAATGAATTGAGTGAATGAATGAGTGAGTGGATAAATTAATGAATTGATGAGTGAATGAATGAATGAATGAATGAGGGAGTGAATGCATGAGCGAATGCATGAATAAGCGGATGAATGAATAAGTTATTAAATGAGTGATTTTATGAATGAATGGGTGAATCGATGAGGGAATGAATGGATGACTGAGTGAGTAAATGGAATAGCGAATTCATTATTCAATCAATCAGTTAACAAGAGAATGAATGAATGAGTAAATGTATAACACGACCACGAATGAACGGGTGAATACATGAACGAACGAATGATCAAGCGAATAGGCATATAATAAAATTAAACAAATGATAACACAAACAAACAGACAAACAAACAAACAAGCAAGCAATTAAAAAAACATGTAAATAAACAAGCCCATTCAAACACCCAAAGACTCACAGCGGAATGCAGAGGAAGAGGGCGATGTTGCAGTCCTTGAGGATGTACATCTGGCCCTTGAGGAGGAGCCCACGGGAAGATTCCAAGGACGACCTCTCGCCTGTCCAAGGAGCCTGGCTGGAGCCTCGGCGGGTTGGCCTGGGGGGGGGGATGGAAAGGAAGGGATGGAGGGGAAAAGGTGAGATAGATAGATAGTAGACAGATAGGTAGATAGCACGAGAGAGCGAGAATATGGAGGTGGAAACGGAGGAGGAGGAAGGGAGGTGGGGAGGGAGGGAGAAGGAGAGAGAGAGGAGGAGAGAGAGAGAGAGAGAGAGAGAGAGAGAGAGAGAGAGAGAGAGAGAGAGAGAGAGAGAGACAGAGAGAGAGAGAGAGAGAGAGAGACAGAGAGAGAGAGAGAGAGAGGGGGGGGGGGGGACACATACACAAATAGAGATAGACAGATAGAGAGAGAAATAGAAAGATAGATAGATAGAGAGATGGAGGCATGACAAGGTGGGGGATAAGAATATGAGAGGGAGTAGAGAGAAAGAGAGAGAATGAAAGGGAGATAAGGAGACGGAAAGGTAAAGAGGAAAGAGACCAAAGGAGGAAATAAAGTAAGACAAACGAAAAAACAAGAAACAACATTAATTAATAATAATAATAATAATAATAATAATAAACAATATCTTACATATAATCTACCAATCTATTTATTCACTAAACATACAAACATAGTAACCAAAACAAGAAAAAAAAACATCGAAACATTGCATCCAACATGACGGGGAAATAAACCTTCACGTCTTGACAAGATCAATAAACAGAGAGAAAATACAAGGCAACCAGGCAATATTGAAACCGTGTCATTGCACATGCCAAAAAAATAAAAAGGCAGAAAGGATGTGTTTTTTTCCTTCATTGATTCTTGCACGATACTAAAGGAGAGGGTTGGGGGGTTGAGCTCATAGCGTGCTAAGGTTGGTTTTCCTTTTATTATTGTTGGTTCTATGTGCGCGCGCGTGTGTGTGTATGTATGTGTTTTGTCTGTATGTGTCTTTATTTTTCTTGTTGTTGTTACCTACTCCTTTTCACCCATTCTCTCTTTCTTTCTTTCATTCTTCTCTCCCTCTCTTTCCCTCTCTTATTTTCTCCCTTTCCCTCTGTCTCTGTCTGTCTGTTTGTCTGTCGGTCTCTCTCTCTCTCTCTCTCTCTCTCTCTCTCTCTCTCTCTCTCTCTCTCCTCTCTCTCTCTCTCTCTCTCTCTCTCTCTCTCTCTATTCTCTCTCTCTCTCTCTCTCTCTCTCTCTCTCTCTCTCTCTCTCTCTCTCTCTCTCTCTCTCTCTCCTCTCTCTCTCTCTCTCTCTCTCTCTCTCTCTCTCTCTCTCTCCCCTTTCCCTTCCCTCTCTCACTCCCCATCCCTCCCTACACACAATTCCTCAACCCCCCCCCCCCCCCGACATACGCACATAAAACATAACGACACACACAGCGTCCTCCGTAACAAACCTTTGTACACAGAGAGATCCGCCGTTGAGTCTTTGCGTTGGAAGAGGAGCATGACAGGGATTCAAGCCAAGCCACTCACAGGCATGCAGTTGAGGACTCCCCAGTTTATTTATTGCATATGCAACTGAGTTTATATAAAGGTTTCTATGTAACTAAGTTTAGATTGGTCTATCTATGTAACTAGGTTTATTTGGGGATATCTATGCAACCGAGTTTGCATATGTAAATGTATATGATGCATGTCTATATATATATATATATATATATATATATGTATATATATATATATATATATATATATATATATATATATATATATATATATATATATATATATATATATATATATATATATATATATATATATATATATATATATATATGTATATATATATATATATATATATATATATATATATATATATATATATATATATATATATATATATATATATATATATATATATATATCCATATATATGCATATATACATATATATATATATATATATATATATATATATATATATATATATATATATATATATATATATATATATATACATATATATATATATGCACATATATATTCATATATATGATGCATGTCTATATATATATATATATATATATATATATATATATATATATATATATATATATATATATATATATATATATATATATATATATATCCATATATATGCATATATACATATATATATATATATATATATATATATATATATATATATATATATATATATATATATATATATATATATGTATGTATATATATATATATATATATATATATATATATATATATATATATATATATATATATATATATATATATATATATATAGACATGCATCATATATATGAATATATATGTGCATATATATATATATGTATATATATATATATATATATGTATATATATATTTATATGCATATATATATCCATATATATGCATATATACATATATGGATATATATGTGCATATATATATATATATGTATATATGTATATATATATATATATATATATATATATATATATATATATATATATATATATATGTATATATATATATATATATATATATATATATATATATATATATATATATATATATATATATATATATACATATACACACATTCACATACAGGTAACGCACACACTATCTCTGCAACTAACAAGGGGCAACTAACAAGGGATTGCAGTGTGACAAACAGACACCTAAAATGACCTACTTGTAGTCATTCGCTCCCTCCTGACATCTAGCGGTTGGAATTGCAAGCATGGGGATAATAAACACAAATTAAAAAAGTGTCACGGATGAATGCCAAGTGATTATAAAATGTAGAAAAAAAAAGTTAATCAAAGAAGTCACAGTATTGATAACATCATTACTTACATTGTTGTTTTTTATTCCTTTGTCAAAATTCTGCGTTGAAATTTTGCGTCAGTTTTGTTGTATTTTTCAGCTTCACATTTTCCAACATTTTTCAAGACTTTGGACTAAAAGGCACGCCTGGATATGAACGATAAAACAAACAAACAAACAAAAAATAATCTGTATACGATCATTTTCGAACTTTAAGCGTACATTATTACGCAGTTTATTCTTGAGATGTGTGTCAGTAATAAATTGTGTATAAAAACAATAACAAGGAAACATTAATTTGATGAGATTTCATGATTCATACTAAAGAACAAATTCTTTTAAAAGCATCGCAGGTTGAATATATTTTCCTAAACTGACGTAGGTTGCACGCTCTGATTGCAAAGTGACAATGGCATACGTTGAAGAGAATGCACCAATATATAGCCCTCTGTCTTGAAGATACAGTTATTTTTTCTCTCTTTCTCTCAGGAAAAACAAACAAACAAACAAATATATGGCATGGAATAAGAATTAAAAAAAAAATTAAGACACTAGTTTCTTTCAGCTTAAGACGAAAACAAACAAACAAACATAAAGGGATTAGATAAATTTAATCAATATTCTCTTCGGATATGCAAAACCATTCTAACGATTTTTGTCGCTCTTAAAAATGACAAGGCCTTTTGAGAAATATTGCTAACATTTGCATTCAAATTTTACCTTCTTTCTTGATAATAGTCGTTTGGGGGGAGAACGTGCTATCTCAGCAAAGTGCAATAACTGCAGACATATGCAACAGATATTGCTCGTTTTGGGAGAAAGCGAGTGAGAAAATTACAGCAAAACACTCGCTTCAATTTATATTTTTTTTCTCTTTTACTTTTGTCTTTTCTATTTGTTATAACACACATTTGTTTTTATAATCTTAATTTATATACGTATGCAAATGCAAATGAATACACACGCTTGTATACGTGCACGTACAGGTGCAGACGAATAGAAACACACACACACACACACGCACGCGCACACACACACACACACACACACTCACAACCTCCCCTCCCATCTTCCCCTAACAAACAAACACATACACACACACAACCTTCCCCCTCCTTCCCCTCCCTCTCCCTCTCCCTCCCTCCCTCCCCGTCACACACACACACACACACACTCACCCACCCACACATTTTCCCCTCCCATCTTCCCCTCACAAACACATACATACACACAACCTTTTCCCTCCCTCTTCTCTTCCCCTCCCTCTCCCTTTCCCTCCCTCTCCCTCCCTCCCCGTCACACACACTCCCCCAAAACTTAAAAAAATAAATCTCTCCAAAAACTTACATATCGTTGACGCAAGAGAGTGTGTTAGATTTATAACTTCCGTCGGGCATCATGACGTTAGTGGTGTTGATCTTCGGTAATTTCTTGGACTCCACTTCCCACGTGACGCTCTGGAACATCATCATCTGCAGGAACGAGACATGGGTTAGGAAGAGGGAAGGGAGGAAGGAGGGGAAGGAGGCGAGGGGGGGAGGGAAGGAGGGGAAAGAGGCGAGGGGGGGGAGGGAAGGAGGGGAAGGAGGCGAGGGGGGGAGGAAGGAGGGGAAGGAGGCGAGGGAAGGGAGGAAGGAGGGGAAGGAGGCGGGGGGGGGAGGGAAGGAGGGAGATGGAGAGAGGGAAAGGCGGTGAGGGAGGTGGAGAGGGAAGAGGGAGGGAAGAGAGAGATAGATAGATAGAAAGAGAGAGAGATAGATAGATAGATAGATAGAGAGAGAGAGAGAGAGAGAGAGAGAGAGAGAGAGAGAGAGAGAGAGAGAGAGAGAGAGAGAGAGACGAAGGAAGGAAGGGAGAGGGGGAGAGGGAAGGAGGGAGTAAGGGAAGGAGGGAGATGGAGAGAGGAACAGGAGGTGAAGGAAGGGAGGGAAGAAGAGAAAGATAGATAGATAGATAGATAGAGACGATAGAGAGAGAGAGGGAGAAATAGGTAGATAGACAGATAGATAGATAGATAGAGAGAGAGAGGGAGAGATAGATAAATAGAGAGAGGGAGAGATAGATAGATAGATAGATAGATAGATCGATAGAGAGAGAGAGAGAAAGAGAGAGAGAGAGAGAGAGAGAGAGAGAGAGAGAGAGACGAAGGAAGGAAGGAAGAGGGGGAGGGGGAAGGAGGGAGCAAGGGAAGGAGGAAGATGGACATGGAGAACATCCCAATAACTTAATGAATTGGCCAGATGAGAAAAACAAACAAACATACGACCAAATCTCCTGGTTTGACTGCCTGCGAATGCTTTTAAAAGAACGCCCAAAAAGCGTTATGAGGAGAATGATGTATTTATGCCTCAGCATATGAAAGAATATATCTATCTACTTATCCATATCTATCTACCTACTTATCTATATTTATATATCTACTTATATATCTATGTATCTATTTATCAATTTCTATCTACTGATCTACTTATCTATATCTATCTATCTATTGATATGTATCTATCTATCTACCTGTCTGTCTACTTATGTGTATCTATCTATCTACTTATCTATATCTATCTATTTATATTTTGTTTATCTATCCATCTATAATTGGCTATCTTTTCTGTTTCTCTATCTATCTATCTATGCATTTATATGTCTATTAGTGTATCTATCTATTTCTCTCTCGCACTATGTATTTATCGATCCATTTATCTGTTGATCGGTCTATCTATCTATCTTCTTATTTACCCATCTATTAGTGTTTTTTTTAATTTTATCAATGTTTGTTATCTCTCTTTGTTGCTATCTCTCTATCTATCTATCAATATTTATAACTATATATGTCTGTCTATCTGCATTTAACTATATCTATATGTCTACCTATCTACCTACCTGCCTGCCTACTTATCTATATAATTATCTATACGTCTCTCTCTCTCCCTCTCTCTCTCTCTCTCTCTCTCTCTCTCTCTCTCTATCTATCTATCTATCTATCTATCTATCTGTCTGTCTATCTATCTATCTCTCTATCTCTCTCTTCTCTATATATATTTCTACCTGTATGTCTAACTGTCTGCCTATCCATCTATCTATCTATCTACCTATTAATCTATCAAGATCTATCTCTATATTCCCTGCACAATACGACAAACATCTCAACAGCTTTAAAATCCAAAGTTTATTCCTCTATAAATATTTTCTTTCAAACCCATTAAACTATAAACAAAAAAAAAAGCCATTTGCATAATTGTCCTCGTTTAGTACACAATTAATACCTGCATTTAGCGTCGTCGTTCTGAATTTATACCTGAATGACAATGAGGTTGAGGCAGATAATGAGAGAATTGCAAACAGAACAACGAAAGGAAGAACATAAGATAATAATAAAAAAGTAAAGAAAAAAATCAAGAAAAAAAAAAATATTCGTGTGTTTTCTTGTTCTTTCATTCGTTGTTATCATTATTATGTTTTTTATTCTTATGGATATTTTTCTTTATTATTAATTCTTATTCCTCGTTTGTTTTCTCCTGCTTTTTTCTTGTTTTCTTTATGCTTTTCTTTATAGATATAGATTTTTGTAATTTGTTCGACATGAATACCACATAATAAGTCTTTCTAACGCAATGGGATTAGTGTTACTGCTCATGATACTGCAATAAACGCCAGAACGAGTTAAGTACGAAAGATGTAGAATTCGATACCTCTTGGTTAAGATTAAGAAGAGTATGAGCGATGTTTAAACAAAGAGAGAAAAGGGAGGGGTCGAGAGTGAGATAGATAGATAGATAAAAAGATAGATAGCTAGATTAATAAATATATATAGACAGAGACGATAAAATTAATGAATAAATGAAGAGATATGAAGTAAAAATGGTAGTGAACTCTCTCTCTCTCTCTCTCTTACTCTCTCTCTCTCTCTCTCTCTCTCTCTCTCTCTCTCTCTCTCTCTCTCTCTCTCTCTCTCTCTCTCTCTCTCTCTCTCTCTCTCTCTCTCCC